AAGTAGTAAGATTATACTGAATTAATGACAGATCTCTGCTTTCACTTCTTTATAGCTAGGTGGTCTTACCACTTTTAAGAAATACATGAATGTCAGTCTGCATCTGCTTTTTCTAGCAAATGGTCTGTTAGGAATCAGAACTCTAATCATATTCTTCTAATTACTACATTTGATTACAGTGATCCAAAATCTTAATTCAGCCATAGTATTACCAGGTTCCTTCTCAAGTGGATAGAGTAAATTTAAAAATCATAAAATGTAAACAGAAGAAAGAGGAATACCCTCTCCCCAGAACATTATTTCACATCGAATCACAGTTTAATCAGAGTTGAATTTTATTTGCCACCATGTTGCCTGTTCATCAACTTCCTTAAGTCTGTCTGAAGGTTCACACAGTCCTCTCCATACTTGATTGATCTGACTATTTACTACAATCTGAAAATTTTGTTAGTTTGCTACCCACCCCTCAGCTCATGATAATGTATCTCACATATACATGTAAATACACAGATATTTAGAAACGTGTGTAGATATGTGTGTGTGTGCACAGATAATATGCATAATATCTGAAAATATAAATATTTACAAAATACATACATATACAATAGGAAGCTTTTAAACTAAGTTGCACCTTTCCGTTAATGAAGAAACTGGACTGTTTTGCTTCTTTGCTATTTTTGGATCAGTAGCAATTCTGTACACTTCAGCACTCTACAGCTTTAATCATTCTCTTCTGAGAGATCTATTCAAAGGCTTTTTGAGATCCTAAGAAATTGTCAGCTGGTTTTCAACACACAGTTACTGAACAGTTACTCAAAAATATTAAGAAGTTTATTGCTATTTGCAATGTCCATGCTGGTGACAGGCTATAAATTATGAACATTTGGTACTGTTTTAAGCAGTTTACAGGTATGTGTAAGGGCCTTTTGTTCCTGGATCTGCCACAGCGATTTTTATGAGCGGGAATGGACAGCATTGTTTCATATCAATTTCTGGCAGAATAGCTGTCCCTAAGGACAGATTTCATATTCTTGAGGCAGTTCACCAATTTATGCTTTCACTGTCTCTTGAAGTCCTCCACATCTCCTTCTAAGCTAGGAACTTACTCTTCTATATTTGCTGTAGCACCTATTACAGAGCCTCTTAATATTTTTATCTAAAGGGAAGGCCATCACATATCTTAATACTATTGTTCTACAGTCTTTTCCAAATTAAATATCCTAGAACAACCCATAGGTTTAATTTCAGTCAAAGGAGAATAAAATCAGGTATTTCCACTAGGTTTTCATTCTGCATTAAGTGCATGTTTTAGTACTGTGAAATTGTTAGGTTTTTTTTTCTTCCTATGTTAAAATCAAATTTTAAGAACTGGAAAGGTAGCTCTGGGTTTCTTTTGATATGGGGGGTTATCAGATAAATTTTTATTCCTATAATAAATTTTTTATTACCTTTTTTCCTGAATTTTAACTACCTTAAACCAACTTTACACTGCAAAGTAAAGAGAGCATAGCTTGTTGTATCTCATTAACACAAGATTTTGGAATTACTATTCTTCAGAGGCTACTTGCAAGAAATCTGTTACTTCAACACAAAAACCTGGAGAGTGTCAGCGACTAAGCAGTTTGACTTTTGGATGCTTTTCAAATAGAGCAAAAAGTCCTCAACCATCTCCTAAGTTTGAAGAAATAAGCAAGTCTTCATCTAAAGAGCCAGACTACACTGAAGGCAAAAACATGCCAGGTACCTCGTCACCAATCTGCCATTTTATTCTGACACAAGTGGAAAACCGAAATTGGCAACTATGTCAGTGTATCCAAACCAGCTGTTTTCAAAGTGCCTAACAGCACTCTCTCCTTCTTCAGTGCTACCCTTCTATTACTAGGAAGAAATCCTGTTGAGCACTAGAGTCTTTGTAATGCCACTGATACATTATTTGGCAGCACACAGTGACTGATGGGTGCTTTGGCTGCAAAGGGAAGACTCTGACTTGGCCCAGGTTTGCTCCATAGCAGGATAAGGAGTTTAAGGCTGCCAGTCCACCAGGCAGAGCTGTTATGTGTTTATGCCTGCATAGGGCAGAGTCTCACCTAAATCCAGTTTCTGTATGTTTTTGCTATGCTATCACTGGTGTCACAGTGTTAGTTTTATGCCCTAACTCAACACGATCAACTCAGAAATTTTTCAGCAGTATGATGAAGGTCAGAAGAAACTGAAGAGAGCAGCAGAGTTTCCTGTCTGAAGAAGGAGATCAGGTCACATAATTTCCCCAACAAACCCAGATGTATGGTACTGCCATTGGCATACTGTCATGCTGTTACAGGCATGAGCAAGTCCATTACAGTTTGCTACGTTCCTTAAGAAAACAAAAGCTCAGGAAGGAGACTGTTGCTCTGGTCCTTTGCTTGAATCCCACAGTGCTGTTTATGACCTCACTATTTTCTCCACAGTTAGTTGTGGTATCTAAAATGGCAAGTTGAGGTCTGTAGAAAATCAGAAATTGAAAAATCAGAATCTGAATAGTTCGTGTATTTATATTACACCAAGTTCATTATGAAGATGGCTATGTATTATTATTTACATTTTTATAGATGAGGGAATTGAAGTAAGAGTAATTTTTTAAGCAAAAGGATAAAAAATAGAACCTTAGGCCTGCCTAGATTGAAACAGATCAACTTTGGAGACTTCATTACTTTAAAGTGGACTAAATCAAAATCTTTGGCTTACCCAATCCAATTTAACTTCATACAGCTATTTAATATTAGCCTTCCCAAGTGTCTGTGTAGAAAAACCCTAGTTCTTGCATCTGTTTTAACTCGAGAGCATGCAGGCCTTACTAAGACGTTGCAAGCTATAGCTCTCTCTTGCAAAACCAGGTAAAAGTGAACAGCAGAAACAAAGCTATTTTTAATACAGCGTCTTTCCTTAAGTATTTTCCATGAGCCTCTCTTGTATATCCTTATCCTAAGCATTCACCACTGGGAATACAATAATAATTTGCAGAAGAAATTTATGTGGATAAATACTGTAGAAATGCACAGAATACTCAATTTGTTAATGCAAATCTTTTCTGATAAGCTTTTATTAATTTCTAATTTTCCTTAGATTTAATAAAGCAGCTAAATTAGTATGCCCTTTTAAGTCTTTGGCTTTTTGTTGTTTTTGTTTGTTTGTTTGTTTTCATCCATTTATGGTTTACTTTAAAATATGGCTCCAGTCTGCTTATCTTTACATTTATCGCCATTTGTAGTTCAGCTAGAACTTTGAGTAATGTTTATTACATTTTTTTGGCAAACATTACTGCAACTTCAGTCACATTAAAAAAATTTTAAATGTTCTTAATGTTTATTATTTACAGTATTAAAAATCTTAAATACGCTTACACATTTGAAATTATTACCTACTTACTATTCTCAGACATGATGACTAAACCCTTTATCAGTCAAGTTTGCTAAAGTAATTTTCTCATGTTCATTATATTTCTCCTCTAGAGAAGGATATCCTGGAAACTACCTTTGATAGTCCTGCACATGAGACAAATAAAGGTCAGAAGTCATTGCAACAAAGTTCCTCTGGTTCAGAGCAGAAAAAAATTGTGAGAACAAGCTGTTCATCCAAAGATATAGACAGTGACATGTCAAAGAACTCGTGCACTACCGGGAGTGACTGGAGCTCAGATGAGGATGGAGGAGACAATAAAGGACTGAAATCCAGGTGTGCATCGACTCTTTCAAGCCACACATCTGAAGAGAATGCAAGGTACAGTAGAGTGGGAAGTGAAATGTATTTGACAGCATCTGATGACAGTAGTTCTCTATTTGAAGAAGAGAGTTTTGGTGTTAAGAGGACTCAGCAAAAGAAGTTATACTCCTGGCAGCAAGGATCCCAAAGAAAAGGCCAGAACAATCCAGGTGGAAAGTGCAACTCTGACTTCACAAGTAAAAAGAAAGACCAAGATAGTTCTTCAGATGAACTGAATAAGAAATTTCAATCTCAGAGGCTAGATTATTCATCCTCATCCAGTGAAGCAAATACCCCAAGTCCAATTTTAACCCCTGCTCTGACACCCAGACACCCAATTCTAGCATCTTCTGCAGGTCCTCAGTGCACGAGTTCATCAAATTCTCCCTCAAATTTGCCACCTCCAAAGTTACGGACTCCTAATGTTTTTAGTCTGAATTCACCGTTAGCAAAGAAACATCTAAGTCAGCCCCAGCTGAGTTCTGACAGAATGTTTGGTAGAAATAGGAATGCCATAAGCATGATACGTCCATGGAGACCTCAGGAAACAGACATAGATCTGGTGGAGGGAGAAGATACTGATATTTTAGAGAAAATGGAGATTGGCTGTGATGAAGGAGTGTTTACTTATGACTGCACTGAAGCACAAAACGCTGAAGTCCAGGAACCTTGTGAAATGACAAAAAAGGGTGCTAGCAACAAACCTCCAACCCCTCCATTACATCGATTTCCTTCCTGGGTAAGTGTGATTATGGATATTTTTCCTACTGGTGAAGCTAACTTATTTTCATGCCTCTATTCTAAGATTTTTATTGCCTCATATTTCTCTTATTCCCTGCTTAATGACAAACTGGGCGTTACCTTAAGCGGAATTAACTCTACAAACTCAGAAGCACGTTTTATTTTAAGCATGGTATTTCTGCCATTGAATAAGTCACTATTTTGTAGATAAGACCAATTTTTTCCACATCACATCTAAGTTGCATATGTCCTTTTGAGTGTGTGTATCAAAGGATGTAATGCTTGTGACTGCATTTATTTATGTTTCTGAATGCCAACACAGCCTAAGAATGCTAGTGTCAGTGCCCTTGCTGTAACCACTCTACCACTCACAATCTAGACAATTAGGTTGACAGAAGACAACTACAGAAGTTACTGATCACATTTCCACATAAAACTTTAAAGCCATCAGTCAGGATATTAAAATAGATATTAATAAGTCTTACAGAAAATCCAAAATTAACTGTGTCAAGACTCACTGATTCTGTGGTTCCAGTGTCAAGAGATTTATTAATGATTCAGAGATGAATAATGCATTAATGTAACAGCTTTTCTATGTATATATTTTAGTGCATTTTTTTTCATTATAGATTTTCTTATCGTAGTCTTCTAACACAAAATGGTTGAAAAACTGTCTTTTAATGGCATTTCTCTGTTCTTAACACACAATCTTCCATTAAAAAACATTCTTGCTATAGCTTCTTTGGCGCCTGATAATAGTATTTTTAAAAGTAAGTTACCTACAGGGCAATGTTGAAACAGACTATGAATATGATGGGGATGGCATATAAAAGAAGGATGCATTTTTCAGCTGCTGTTGATGATGTCATTTTGTGAACCATTTTAGCATATAGTTGCACTGGCACCAAGACTAGGAGGCTAAACAGAAGAAAGGTAATTGTTGTGTTTTAATTATCTACCATCAAATCCATTTTGCTTGTATAGGAAAGCAGAATTTATGCTGTAGCCAAATCTGGTTTAAGGATGTCTGAAGCTTTCACCCTGGAATCTCGTAATAAAAGTAAGTGGTTTAGTTGTTCATTGTCTCATCAAAAAAAATTCTATTCTTATGGTGATGTGTAAGCAAGGACTTCTAAAATAATTTTATGAAGATTTAGTTATCAGCTATTTAAAACCTAGAAGATTATTGGTTATTTTTCCATAGTCCACCTTACCTCTTGATTTTGTGCTGAATTTGTACATTGTTCACTCCAGTTTACTTTGCAATTCTTTTTGAAGATTCTATAACAGGTACCAAGGTAAGAGCTTATGCTTCCAATTTAAAAAAGGTTTGTGTTCATGACTGCAATTTTATTTATGCTTCTTAAAACCATTGTAAATTTTAAAAAGTTATAAATCTCCCATCTAAAACAGTTTGGGAGTTAGTTTGCTTTTTATAGCAGTTAAACAACACAAAAAAAATTACATTTGAATTTGGTTAATTGAGGGGTAAATTAAGAAGGTCATTTATAGAATATGTTGCTTTTTTAGGTGCTGTTTCACTAACTTCATGCTCCATATCCGGATTATATACATCTCTGATATATAAGAACATGACCACTCCTGTCTATACCACTTTGAAAGGGGTAACTGTATTACCGTTTAAAGGAAATTTTTAAATACCATTGGGCTTCACATCCAGGAACTTCCTGTTTTACATTTAATACTACCATGCCAAATATGTTGTAAGTTGATGTTTAGAGATCACAGAACCCCAGAAGTAATAGAAATGTCAAATAGCTGGGGAAAAAATACTGCTTATGGAATGTTACTAGCCTAGGTCAGTTCTTCTTAGGTTCCTTGCTGATTTTTTCCAAAGACTTGCTAATTATTAAACAGAACCACATGGTGTTCAGTGTCATAATTAAAAGCATGTGTATGTAGAAATTCTTTGTGTCAGTGCCAAAGCTGTTTCTAGTCACATAACCAGCAGTAAGTAATCACAGCGTTGTTTGTTTCTGACAGTCTTTTGTGCTTTGGAAAGACCCATGCCTTGAGCTACCTCAGGTTTCTGTTTTGAAGTGTGGGTGTGTTTGAGCGTACAGACGGCAGAGGGAATTCAGTTTCATGTTAATATTTGTGTGCCAAAACTCACAACCCAAGCAAGAAACAGCTTTGAATATTATGAAGCCAAAAGAGTTCTGCCACAGTATGAAGGAAATGACTGATACCCTTTATGCAAGATATCAAAGAATGTTGTGTTCATTTATGCAGAAAGCAACTCAAATAAGCAACAGCCCATTTATAGATGAGTCATCGGGATCAGAGGAAGAAGACAGCTCTCGGTCCAGCTCAAGGACTTCCGAGTCTGATTCTCGAAGCAGAAGTGGTCCAGGTAGTCCTCGGGCTATGAAACGAGGTAGGCAAAACCATAAGACAAGTAACTTCTGGGAAGTTTGGAAAACTAGGCAGTTTACATGATCTTCTTAGAAACTGATTTCTTCCTTAAACAGTGTGGACATCTTAAATCTAGGCTTTTATCTCAGCTCTCAAAGCCTAGATCTAATATTCAAGCAGGAGAAAGGACTGTTACACATGGCTTTTTTTTATTGCTGTTGTTATAGATGTCTTTTTAAGGCATTAATCTGGTAGCTGGCTGTTGTCGGGGGAAAAGTGACTTGTACATTTAAAGCAAGAAACACCATTCTCTCTGTACTCTGTCATGCCAAGGGCTTCCTGTGATCTTTAACTGTAGATAAGTAAAAACTATGTAGAAAAGAACTAATTGCCATCAGAAAAAAAACCCCACATATATTCGAGTTTATAAAACAATTTTCACGTCATCAGAAAGCAGGTGGAAAAGTATCCTTATCAAATTATTTGTTTCTGTCACTTCATGTAATAAGACACTTCTTCCATTTTTACAGTGATTGTCTCAAGGTCCCATGCAAAGATTTAGTTAAAATACTTGAATCCAGTAATGTGCTCTGTTTTGTGGAAGACAAATCTCACAGTTCTAGGTAACTGTGTGTTTTCCATCTGCAGAATGGAAATAATGTGCTTCATTACATTGAAAGATACAGTGCTTCCTCATGGGGTGACATTATCAGTGTTATATCCCTGCAAGTATTTCTTCACTGGGTGAACCAAGGGAGACTTAAAATTCCTGTAAGGCCAAATGTTAAGACCATCCACTATAGAAATGTAAAATAACATGATTCAGTAGTCTGTATTATACATGTAAAAATCCCAGTTAGCAGGAGCTCCATTCAGCTAGCCTGGAGCAGGTTGACAGAGCCACTGGTCCAGTCGGAGTTTCCCAGTGCCAGCCCCATGTGGAGTCCAGTCCTGTTTCCAGTGATGCAGTTAAAGTTTTGCTACATTAATGTGAAAAGGACCCATAGTTCCTGCTTCTCAGCAGCTCCATCTTGCTGAGTGAAAACCAGTGTCATGGCTGCAGACACATCTCATGTTACATGCTCACACAACAGGAAAGCCAAATTGGGTAATTTAAAATCTGGTTTCACCTACAATTTATATCCGTGCCTGTAAAGTGGAACCATTCCTTTTGTTCATGCTTTCTTCCCATAAAACTGTCCTTTCATTGTTTCATGTGTGGAAACCTTTCTTAACCACAAAACATATATGTACTTATCTTTGTTGAAATCACATTGTTTAAAAATCTAGGCAGTCACACATTTCACCAGAAGCATAATTAACTTGCTGCATTTTTCTTGTTAAAGATCCTACATGAGAAGTACCCACTCTGAAAGCCCAGGTGCTTACAAAGCAATAAATGAGAAAAGCTTTTTTTTTTTAAATAAAATTGGCAAATTAGTTTGGAAATTATTGAAACAAAGGAAACAAGGCCTCTTCATTTCAATCTTGGAGAGTATAACCTTGCAAAGTAAAAACACTAGTCCTTACAAAAGGGCATATTCACGTGTATGAAAATATTTCTATGATGAGTAAGGGAGAGGTTTGAACTTTTATTGCTGTTTCACTAGAATTGAAAGCAGTGTGCATTTTTTCAACAGTAAAGCTGATAAACACTAAAAAACACCTGAAATCCGGAATTCAAATTTTTAGAAAACCTCAGGATAAAAATTCATACTCATTGCAAAATACAGTCACCTACAGCTTCAACACATATCAGATCTTGAGTATGGCTTTTTAGTACGTAAGCAGTTGCATAAGAAATCCAGATACTAGAGCGAATGATAGAAAGAGGAGGGGGAAAGCTGCTTAGTTTAATTAAAGATCCTGTTTGCATTTTCTAGAGGATGAGTATGATGCATGGCACTAATTCCCGCCTTAAAATAGCTGTGGTAATATAACAGATCATAATATATAGAAGACATTTATTTGTTATTTCAATCACAAGGGACTTAAACTGTTTAATTATGAATGAGACTCAGATATTAGCACTGTGCTAATAGTTCAGTGTGCTGATATTTTAAAAAGTCCTTGGTTCCTGATAGATTTCTGTTGATACTTGTGTTTGCCTGCAGATCCTATTCAGATATTCTTTCTGCATGGCTGTTCTGACCTCAGTTGTTTCTAGTGTAATAAAAAAATATATAAAGAATTATCTTTCTTCATTTCCCGCAGGTGCGTCTCTGTCTTCTGTGACCTCGGAAAGCGACTATGCTATTCCTCCAGATGCATATTCAGTAGACACAGACTATTCAGAGCCAGAGCAGAAACTTCCTAAGACCTCGTCCTCATCTAGTGATAATGGAAAAAATGTGAGTACTGAAGTTCTGTGAAGAAGTCCACCCGTGGTGCTGTACGTATATTTATATCTTTATATTCAATCTTGTTGACTCATGGACTGCCTTATGAGTACAAATAGCAAAATATACCAACAATAAGTTAACTATATAAGACTGTAATTACTGAAGGAAAATGGAGGGTAATTGTGAGCTTTCTATTATAATAAAGGAAAATAGGTTGACGACTCCAGAAAAGAATTCAAAGTCTTTAAGATTTCCTTTCTCGGAACCAAGTCTGGTATCAGATTGCATATGAAAAACTAAAAGCAGATTAAAATTATTATTTGAATATTCGGGGAAGTAGAAGGGTATTCCAAGAAGGAGGTGAAGTTATCAGTGGAAATCAGAGAAATCATAAGTAGCATAAGATGCAAGGACAGGTCAAAGAAACCAAACCATTATGGGGTATTGGTCAGTCCCCAGGGGTTTTTAAGTTGCTTCTGTTAGTAGTTAGTGCCTTAACATACAAGTGGATTGACTGCCTGGTGATGAAAATTATTTTAAGCTTTCTTTACAGAGCAAAAATTGTGAACTCTGTTCTACAGGTATACACACTAAAAGTTTGTCTGCGAGGAGCTCTGAATTACAGTGCTCTTTATCTGGTCTGCAGGTTAGGCCCTGAAGTTGGGAAAAAACATATATTTATTTTATATTCATTTTGTTCCTCGTTTAATATAAGTAATTAGAAAGTAAAATCGGAAATCATCATAATCTTCATTCTTTTGTATAGTTTGGGGCAAATCATATACTACAACTGTAAATAGGGATTTTAATTAGTTACCCCACGTGCACGGCATTTGTGTTAATTGATGCTTGTAAAATTTTTGTTGTTGGACCAAAAGTCTCATCATATACTGTAATTATTATTTAGCATTCTTTTAAGTCATTAATATATCTCTGTGTGTTTTTACATATTTCTGAGGGATATAGGTATATATGTGTATCTAACTACTTTTTATCTAACTTCTAAACAATCAGGAACCTTTGGAAAAATCTGGATATCTATTAAAAATGGGTGGTAAAGTAAAGACCTGGAAACGACGGTGGTTTGTGCTTAAAGGAGGCGAATTACTATATTACAAATCTCCAGTAAGTACATGTAACTTATCTGCTATTTGATATTAGATTTTTTTTACTGAGAATATAGGGCTAGTGTCTGAGCTGTTAGAGAGTTATTCAGGACTCATTTCCTCAAAAGGTGTACAAGGTACTGAATGCCTAACTAGGAAATATCTATCCAGATTAATGTTTAAACGAGCTGTATAATTATTTATTGCTATTTGTTGGTAGGTTTAAAATACTCTTTTTCCATTCTTTCCGTACAGAGTGATGTCATTCGAAAACCTCAAGGTCAAATTGAGCTAAATGCATCTAGCCATATTGAAAGGGGTGATGGAAAACAAACAATTCAGGTGCCTTCTTTTCTCCTGTGCTTTCGGTATTCCCTCCATCCCCAGAACCAACTCGTTGTTCCAGGCCCTATTGCACTGGAAGTCCAAGTGTGGACTTGGAATTAAATAATAAGTGCCCTTCATTTGAAACCAAAGAATCATCAGTTACAGAAAATATAAAAAGGCCTACATGGAGTCTTGTTTGTATTGCTACAAAGGTCAGTCATCACATATAAGATAAAAATAAAGAGAGTAATCTTGGGGCTAGCCATTGAGGTTGAGAGAAGTCATTTATCTGGAAGGAGATAAACTGAGTTTTCTCAGCTTGGTGTCCTGGAATTTTTCAGATAAAGACTTAGAAAGAGTCTGTCTGCTCTGCCTGGCTATGGAATGTTTCATTAATGAAAAGTGTTTTGGGGAAAATAAACCCCCCAAAGCTGTGAAACTACATGGGGTAGTATATGTTACAACCCCATCACTATGGGGTCAAATGTATAAAGTTCTTGAAGCTCAAGACTCTTCTGTTACTACACAGCTGACCACAGAAAAACGAACATACTACCTGACTGCAGATTCTCCCAACATCTTAGAAGAATGGATCAAAGTACTACAGAATGTTCTTAAAATACAGGCTGCCAGCCCACTCTTCATAAAGTCTGAAATCAAGCCAACCATGAAAGGATTACTTACAAAGGTAGAAAAATTCTTCTTCCCCCAACCTGCTTTATTCCATATTTCTTAATAACAATAGCCAGATAAGAATGGCCCTAAAATAAAACAAACACAAGTAAAACAGACATGTGTTTGCTTCCTCAGTACCTTACAATGTGAACAATCCAGAAGGACTACCGACTCACCTACTTTGGGCAATTTGGTTTTTTCTCGTTACTTGATTTGATTTGGTTTTTGTTTTTGTCTTTGTCTTTTTAAGTCATTAGTTCCTGTGTTGAGCTCTCCCTTTGCACTTCAGTGGTGTCCTAGTTCAGCATATGTTTCAGTAGCTAATTTACCAACCTGATTTCAGTGGAGTGCTCTCTTTTTCTGTGTTCACTCACTGTGACAGATTATTTCCTTAGCTTCCATTACTTTAGGCCTGATTCAAAGTCACATGAAAAACACTGGCCTTAGGAGGTTTTAGATTAACATCTCATCTAATACTTTGATTTTTATGCCCTTAATAGAGTTATGAAGTTTTAATTTTTTGTCTAGCAATTGGGAAAAGAATTTGAACCAAGGCATTTATTCCCAGTATTGCCAAAGTTCAGAGATGGTGAAAACTAGTCTGTATTTCTCTGGCTGTGCTTGTTCCTAATGTTCCGTAATTACAGGTGAAACATGGATATTCCAAAAGAGTTTGGTGTACCCTAGTTGGAAAAGTTCTGTATTATTTCCGTAATCAAGAAGACAAGGTAGGTCCCTTACTTGTTTCTTCAATGAATGTAGACTTTAAACAGTAATTTACAGCTTTATTAAGGTACAATTACCCTAGGCATTGTGCACAGATTTTCAACTTGGAAGGTTCATATCTAATTGCTACTAATCCAGGGCACACCCTTCGGTCTCCTTCTACAGGACATGATACATGTTCTGCATCTCATCCCCAGCTGAAGGGGGAGACTGATTTGCTGACAGTTCAGGTGTCCCTTTCTGACAGGCATGAGACTCATTAGAAAAGTCCTAGCTGTCACGTACTTCTGGAAAGAGGCCCTTTCTAATATATGTTTGCAGGGGGCAGTGACTGCAGATTTGAAGAATTTAAATCTTCTTTTTATCCCTCAGTTGACTTCCAAATCCTGCTCTTTGGTATGTCACTGTACCTCCATAGTGCTGCAAGAGCTAGGACACTGGCTAGTCATAATTTTCACCTGTCCCTTTGCTCCCAAGGCATTGTGTTTTGTCAAGAAACATCTTTTTAATGGAGGTGGATGAGAAACAAGATTTTGGAACAGTCCACTGAGCCATTATAACTAACAGTTAAAAAAATACCCAGAAATTTTCATTTTTTTTACTTCTGTCCTAAGCAAATAATCACAATGGAGCCAGTAATTAATAGCTTTTATGTAGAGCTAGTTATTCCCTTTGTCATCTTTTCCATTTCTAGCCATTTTTAAACATTCAACTAAACCTTATTTCAAGAACTATATGAAAAAGATAGCAGTAACCATCCATTAAAACATTTTATTTAAATTAAAACAATGTAATACAGGATTCAGGAATCACCTGACTAGAGTATCAATCTCTAGCTCATCCTAAAGAGACATTAAAATTAACTTGCAGTTTCTCCTATGGATAAATCTCTGAATTTACACATTTTTACCATTGAAGATTTTGGAATTGTAGCATGCCCTTTAGAAGCACTTAAGAATTTTGCTGGATTCTTGTGAATTTCCCTCACATTTGGTAGAAGTTTTGCTGCCCTTTTAAAGTAAAATTGAAACTAATTTGCTAAATTGTAATAAAATAAGGATTTAGCTTTTGTAAGCAGAATATGTATGAAAAATTTCCAAAGCTAGTTCATTTCTAATGTTCAACAATTTGCTAATTAAGAACATACTTTCTGTAGCTGAATGTGTCTGTGCAGAAATAAATTACACAATCTGCAGTGGTTAATACAGTAATGGAGTCCATTTAAAAGGCTTCCTTTCAAAATGGAATTCAAATTAAAAAAATGAGCCAACTGTGTTTTAGTTATACTTGGTGAATAAATCAATCTTGACTACTTATATGTGAAATGACATCTTTTGATTCTCAGGATCTTATTTTGTTCAAAAAGTTGAATGCTTCAGAAGCACTACAGAAAATACAAATCACCACATGTGTCTTTAATCCTCACTAGTGAAGGCACTGGAGCAAAGGGCCACCACTCTGTGATGTTTTCTTCAAATGACAGTATTATTAACAGCTCATTGCATTAAATCGCTACTCAGGAATCCCACCCCAGATTGAGTAAAACTTGCCAGCTACTCTCCAGTATGGTATTTTCAGTTTTTAAAGAATATTTTTGGAAAGCCTCATCTGCTTTTCACTGGCGCTGTGATTTCAAGACAACTTACTTCAGTAACCAAAGCTTCTTCCCTGCACCATTAAATAACATTCTTTTGAACATCCTCATGTCTGAATGGCTAGAGAAAGAACAGTGGGGCTGTGAGAAAGGAGGGAGCTTGGCATAAAGTAGCCAGGAAGACTGTCAGCCTCTGTCAGTACTGTCACCTAATTGTGAAGATTTCATGCTGTATTTATGTTCGTAGTGGCTTCCTGTTGTTAATGGCTATGAAATAATTACTTCTGTGAGAATTTCCACTTGAATGGCTTTTTTATGTAAAACATTTCCTGATAAACGATGCAAACTACATAAACAACTTAACATAGAAGTACTGTGATCTATCAGATTGGAGAATGAAACCAGCTGGAAGGTCTACCACACAAAAAATTTACCTTCTGAATTTGTAGCACGAACAAAACAGATACATCAATAATACATTCATTACTGCACTCTGAAATAACAAGATCATAATTAAAGTTCTGGGCTTGATGCAGGGAATTTTTGCTTGGAACCAGATCTGGAAACTCTGAAGAATGACTTCTCTCACCCTAACAGACATTTATTGCATTACTTATGTACAGAGGCAGAAAAGAATTTTTGAAAATCTCACCTTCAGACTTTGGCACATGTCACTCTCCTTTTGCTTTCTGCAATAGATGGCGTATCTGACATTCCTTGGCAAGACTGAAAATGAACAAATACAAATAAGTATTGATGGTAGTTCATGTTTTTCCTTCTATTTGCAGAATAAGAACAAATTGTATATAATAATAAATACAATAACATATAATATAAAATCAGAGTGCACTGAAGTGAGTATTACCTCTCTCACCACTTGTGATATTTACTTTTAGTTTCCTCTTGGCCAAATCAAGCTTTTTGAGGCAAAGGTTGAAGAAGTTGATAGATCCTGTGATTCTGATGAAGATTATGAAGCTAGTGGTCGCAGTTTATTATCAACCCATTACACTGTTGTTATCCACCCCAAAGACCAAGGACCCACCTATCTTCTTATAGGATCCAAACATGAGAAGGTAGTAAACGGACATTTTTATTGGGTTTCAGTAACACATTTATGGATATGGTGCTGTGATATGAATATTTCTTGAGGAGGAAGAAGGGGACCTACAAGTCATCTGGCTTGTAGTTTGATATAATAAGCAAGGAGAAGGTTCTGATTTTTTAACATCGATCAAAATTTGTCTGCAAATCAATGCTGTTGTGGGCAAACCTTGTTAAAATAGACAAAAATAAGCAGGCTTGCCTGCATAAGTAGATGGTGCTGAATATCATATATGCTGTAACTGGAGAATTTTGCTCACATACACTAACTTGTAGACAGACCTGTAGCTGACCTTCCTGAGAGGTTTTAGGGTACTTGTATCCATTTTCACTGAAAAGATTAACAGTAGCAAAGACTGCCCTACTTAAGTGAAGGAGCAATGAGGGGTGTGGTTAAAACCATTTTTATTATCATTGCTTCATTGTTCTCAAGTAATCTTGTAGACCTTGTTTTGCTTTCTGGCCTTATCCCCAGGTTAGCGGGATCTGGCAGTGATAAAAAGACACTTATGTAAGCTTTTGGAAGAGGAAAGGAAGAATGCTCTGATAATTAAATATGATTTCTGAGGGTAAAAACTTATGAAGAGTGCCCTGTGCAATCTTCCTTGCTTAATGTTTGTAACATAGAGACCATGAATGTGTATTCAACCAAAGGCAAACTTCTTTGGGCTTCAAAAGGAGCACATGGTAGTGAACTTGAACTTTGCTCTCAAGTTTGAACTTGAGAGCAAAATCCTAGTGAAGCAGCTCCTTCCAACATGGAATGAGGGAACTGCTGTGTTTTTCTGCTTTAGGACACATGGCTTTATCATCTGACAGTTGCAGCTGGAAGTACCAGTGTAAATGTTGGATCTGAGTTTGAACAACTTCTTTGCAAATTATTAAATGTGGAAGGCGATGCCAGTAAGTTTGTTTTCATTTCAACATCCTAATCTTCCAGTGCTTATTTACTGAATGTACTTATGTACTGAATTAATTGCAAAACCTATATATTTTATCCTTTTAGCTTCTCAGATTTGGAGACATCCTACCCTTTGCCATAGTAAAGAAGGAATTACTTCCCCTCTTACAACATTGCCATCAGAAGCCTTGCAAACTGAAGCAATTAAATTATTCAAGGTAAAACCATAGCAGATGCCTTTTTTATTAACTGACTGTTTTAGCTAAAGAATGGCTGTTAGCTGGCTTACTAGGAATGTTCAACAGATAAGAAAAAAGCAAAGAGAAGTTTACTTTTATCTTTAGTGGAGGTAACTAATGGACAGCAGCAGAATGGCCTCATATGATCTCACCAAAGACTATCACTTCCAATGTAAAGAGATCACTTTTGGTTGTGAGGAGCAGTTTAGGCTTCAACTTCTGGATTTCCTACTTATTTGGTAAGTTATTGATAAATTGCAAGTTACTAGAAAAATCCATGGCCATCATGAATGATAAAATTTTGTCTTGAAGTTCATGGCTCCAAAGAATGTACCAGCTTTGAGAATTGACAGATCTCTGCATTCAGAAAACTGTAGCTGAAATACCGTTGCTTTAATTAAATTCTGGAGGAAAAAATACTAGGCGAAAGTTTTGTCATAGATACATGTAAATCATCTGGGAGACATTTTAATAACCAGAAGAAAAAGCAAAATTTAAGTTTAAGCACGTTATAGAGTACTTCAAATTGAGATAGAAAACAGACATTGTACTGCTCTTTTTAATAAAAAGAAAATATTTTCCTATGAAGTAGCTATTCTTAAAAGATGGATCAGCTATTCAGTAATATAAATGGAGAAAATATTCCAGAGCAAAATTATTAAAAGTGTTTCACAACATTTTTTTGAATCCACTTTTGAAGATTTTTATACACTTTTAAAAATATACATATGTATATGTCCCAGGAGTAGTGAAAAGGCCTTTTGACTAGGAGACACATAACAGATCATAACTGCTGAGCCACAGCTAGTTTCTTGAAAAATTTTGTCTGCCACTAAGACCTTACATCTTTCCCAGTTAAAGGCCAGGAAAGTGAGAGTATTATGCTGCAATGCCTTTAACCTTCTTTCAGGCTATAAAGTCTATTTCAGAGACAAAATAAAATTTTGCTGTTCCTTTTTCTGTACGTCGTGAAAGAAGTTACAAGTTGGAAGGCATGGAGCTTGGATAAATGAATTTTCTCCACAAAGCTTGAACAAGTCTAAAGACCAAATTCCCTGAAGCATCAAATATCTGGGGAATTCTAATGTAATGGTTCAGATCTAGAAAGGAATTCAAGACAAGCATTGTATGTTTAGTCATGGCCACTTGTAGGCAAACTTTCCAGATGGTTTCTCTGAAATGTTTGAAACACTTTAAAGAAGTACATCCATCTTACTTTCTGCAATCCTGCAGCATGAAAGTTTAAAAGGAAATGTACTTATTTGATAAAAACAAATGTACATTTATTTGTAAATCACTTTTCAGACCTAGTTCAAATCACAGACACTTACCTAAAATAAATAAATAAGAGATTACTTGTATGACCTTTACAGAAACTTCATATAAATCAGTTTAAAAGTCAGATAGGGAATTTATTTAGAAACAGTCATGTTTTGGTTATTCAATTGCTGATAAAAATTAGTCTGTGTGAAAATCCACATATTTTCACATAGACTAGAAACAGATCAGGCTTCCATCCATTTTTCCTTATATCCTTTGAAAATTCCATCAACTATTATACAGAGTAAATGCAATAATGCTTTCTTCTAATACACCACAACAAATGCTTAACACATGGCTTTCCTGAGACAGCACTGGGGATAGGAAAGGTCATACTTACCCACAGTAAAAATACCAGGGAAAGCCAAGATGTAAATCAATGGCTCTGAGTTATGGTTTTCTTATCTGTGTATATTCTGCAGTGTTGTACTCACTACTTGCACGAGCATTTTACATTATCTGCCATTGAGAGCTGTAGACTTTGCATTTCCAAGTCCTGTAGAGGGTCTGCTTTGTTCAGCACATCCTTAAACTTGCATACCACTACAACTGTTGCAACTCCTGTTAATAGTTCACTCCATTAGATGTAGAGTGAAAAGCATGGGTTCTAGGAGGTATTTTTATCTTAAGTCTCACTACATAGCTTTTTACTCCTTTTTTTGCAGAACCAGCAGGGTTTCTTTAGTCTAGTGGTAGACTTACTGTGACTTCAATTAAAGCACGCTTTTGTTATACAGAACATCTTAAAGATTTGTTGGAGCTTTTTGTATGTAAACTCACTTGCTTATTATTTTATATCTAGACCTGCCAGTTGTTTATAAATGCTGCAGTTGACTCTCCTGCCATTGATTACCATGTATCTTTGGCCCAAAGTGCTTTGCAGATCTGCCTCACACATCCTGAACTTCAAAATGAGATCTGTTGCCAGCTTATTAAACAGACTAGACGTCGACATCCACAAAACCAGGCAGGACCAATACAGGTAACCCAGGATTTATTTTAATGGTATCGATTTCAGCAGCAATAAAGGAACTACACAGACTTCTTAGAATGGTAAAGAGGCTATGCTTTTCTGTAGTATCTGCTTACTTAAACTTGGATAAAAAGCTGAGCTAATATCTTAATTACTGCTGTGTCTTCCTGAAACAAAGCTGATGCTATCCTCCAACAAAATACCTGTATCTGGTGGTAGAGTATATCTCTGCCTGTGCTGTTTTTAAAGAGTGGACATAAAATGGGCTGTCTTCAAGTTAAGTGTTAAGTAAGACATCATGTACGAAACCTTTTCCTTAATTCTCTTTTACTGCTTCTTTCCTAAGAGAGGTGCTGCATCAGGAAGCTTGGTGGGCTGAATCACATGGCTTAACAGCATGAGTGTGAAGAGAAGCTGCAGTGCCATGTTGTGGAATTTCAGATATGCTCAGGGCTTCTGATAGATATCACCTCTTGTATGCCATGCTGTTCTGCATGCACCCTGCATGCTAGGTTATAAATGCATACTTAAAATTCTTGACTTTGTCCACTGCCGGCTGTTCACTGATATCCAGATATGTGACAATGAAATGAACTGAAATTGAAAGGAAAGCCAATATTAAAGAGTTTGCATAAAATTAACAGAACTGGAACAATTGCGCTTATGGTGGAGCAATATCTACAGAACTAGGAGATGGATCAGAAAATGTTACCATATTAAGGCTTCTGTAATAGTCATGTTTTTCTCTTGCCAAAGAAAGTAGAACGTGACCAACAGACATACCTAGTATCTAGAAACAGCCCGTAATCCGATATGTGGTGAGACACTGGAACAGGTTGCCCAGAGAAGCCGTGGATGTTCCATTTCTGGAAGTGTTCAAGGCCAGGTTGAATTGAGCTTGGAGCAGCCTGGTCTAGGGGAAGGTGTCCCTACATATGGCAGGGGTTTTGGAACAATATTATTTTTAAGATCCCTTCCAACCCAAGCCATTCTGTGATTCAATTTTTGCATCACAAAACATTCACAAAGCTTTTATAGCAGACATAGCACATTCATGTCAATTAACACACTGAAGTTATGTATGGCTGATGGAATTTAAACTTATTATAATCCTTCTTTGGTACTTTCTTACCACGGGCAAGGCCTTCCCTCTGATGCAGGTAAATATATTGTTGCTATTGTAACACACTGGAATGATTTTTAAGAGCTAACACATTCAGTAAAATGTTTTCAACCTTACACTAAGCTTTTTTAAGTCCTAAATTCATTCCGTAGTCTTCTACCCTTACTTGTACTGTGGTGTATACCTTCAATGGAACTGATGCTATCCTCCATCAAAGTACAAATATTTGATGATAGGGAATATCTGTGCCTGTGCTGTCAAATTTCTATTTAATACCAGGCAAGTCAGATAAATCAAGATGGAGAAACATCATTTTTTAAAATTCAATATGAAGCATTGATTGTGAGAAAAGTAGTTGCAATATTAGTAAGTGTATATCCAGGGTACATGAGAGCAATCTGTATTAAGTGAAGCCTATGGATACATATTGAGCAACAACAATATACCAAATTATTGAATAATTGTTTTTTTCAATAGTTACTGTCTACTTGGTAGGAGGAAAATGTCTTATGTGTTGCTTCATCATATATGTAACAGGAGAGCTGAATTCAAATTTCACAGGCTTCTCATTTCATAGTGCTTGGCCTTGCAGCCTTAGTATTTTTTTCCTGTGTATTAAGTTTTTTATACAAACTGAGCTGCTTTCCCATTTCCAGCCCCAAAAGAAACTTGCTATATGCAAGTAAATAGAAGGAGAGCTTTGGCCTTTCAGTGAGGTGACATGCTTATTTAGTCAGCTTTTTCTCTGAGTTTTGTTTTTTTCATTCCTATTTCAGCAGTCTCGACTTGGCACAGTAAGCTGCACTGCTGGCCAGCAGCCACAGCAGGAAGTTTTACGTTGTAAGATGTTTAAAACAGTGAATATATTCCTTTTGTTCAGGGATTGCAGCTCTTGGCTCTCTGCGTTGGACTCTTTCTGCCCCAGCACCCATTCCTTTGGCTTCTTAAACTTCATTTAAAGAAGAATGCAGATTCCAGGTGTGCCTAAATATTATTACCCAGCTTGTCAACTAGTCTTTCTGAAGTACCTTGTTTTCGGTCTTTCCTGTAGTGTATCAGATTTTTGACATACATTTTAAAATTAATTTGAGTAAAATTGCTACTAAAACACAGTACATGTTAATTCTATGCATCACTTGGGAAAGTTACCCCTTTTTTCAAAAAGTACTCTGCAGTGGAACTCTTGACTGTATGTTGCAAAACCATGAAAACCAAAATATGATAGTTATTACACAACACACCCTGAGCCATGTTCATCTTTGGCACAGTTCTGCTGGCCTTGGTAGACTAATTCTCTTTCTAATTCCACGTGCAAAAAATGTGTTGGAAATCTCACAGCGTGAAATCTGAGTGCTCCTCCCATCTGGCATCCCCAGAGAGATTTACTCACAGTTTACTATCCTTTCAGTCAGTCCCCAAGAATTGCCTTACTTCTTTTTTTGGTCACAGGACTGAGTTTGGGAAATACGCGATCTATTGTCAGCGATGTGTAGAACGTACCCAGCAGAACGGAGACCGAGAAGCAAGACCTTCCAGGATGGAAATCCTTTCCACTCTTCTTAGAAATCCCTACCACCATTCGCTGCCCTTTAGTATTCCAGTTCATTTCATGAATGGCATATATCAGGTAATGTCATGTAGACCACAAAACCCGAGCTCTCCCAACCTCTGGCTGTTAGCATATACGTGAAGTATTATATCCGGAAGAGAATTGTAAAGGTTAAGGAAAACCTGGTTCAAGTTTCATCTTGTGCCAGTGCTAGCAATGGCAGGCACGAGGTACTTGTGATCTGATTTGATCAACAAAGAGTAAAGGTTTGGGGGAAAATCTTTAAGAGAAAATAAAAGAAGTAAAACCTCTTAAGAATGAAAAATAGCAAAGTTCTGTTTCTTATTTAACCTGACCACCAGCTGAATGAATTAGACTGAAGGAAAGGGAAAGGTATTAAATTCCACTTCCTTTCATCAGACATCTTGGAAGTTAAATCAGTGAAGGCCTGGAAGCACAGCTGTAACTCCCATTATCAGTCATGAAGGATAACCATATTTGTTACAGAACAAACATAGCTTCATTCTTAACTCTTGTGGGACTTCATTAGTCAAAGCCTGTAGGAAACTTTTCACAGGCTTCCATGCATGCTGCTTCACATCCTGGTTTGTGTTTCCAACTGTGAGAGATGGCTGAAAAAATTTTTTTAACAATTCATAGTATTCTTAGACAGAAAGCAAGTTTTTATATGAAATCAAGGCTATATCAAATAAACTTTTCATTTCAGGTCACAGAAGAACTCTGCTTTTTTTCACCACTAAGTTTCTTAATTGCTTACTGCTTCCTGCTTGCCCAGTAAAACAGAAAAAAACCAACATGTGTTTAAATCAACCTAAAAGGTTTCAGAACTGAAGTTTGGAGAAGAAAAGGAGTAATTGCTCATTAGTTATTTACTGGTCAAAATTGTATAGTTCCAAGGGCTAAGAAAATTGTAACTAAATTGTAACTAATTGTAAAAATTGTAACCACATTTGTAAAAATTGTAATTACATTACTAATGTCTAAAATTTACTAATTTTGTAAAAATTGTAATTATTTTAACTAAAATTGCAACTAATTGTAACTAAATTACTTTAATGGAATTGGCAACTAAGCAATTATAGACTCCTGTATTCATCTCTGCAGCAGATTTTTATTTTAATGCCAGCCACTGAGAAGTACAAAACAGAAGTCCAAGATCAATTTTCAAGACATTTTTTACCAAGAGTAACATATTTTCACCAAGTCAAATACAGGAAAACACCCTCAATACAGATTTAAGTGAACATCACAACTGGTATCTGTATAAAAGCCATTTGCAATCTCTTGCTAAAATGCTTCAATACTAGTAACAGCAGACAAAAATTCATATTTGGGGAAGTAAAACTTAGAAGGCTTTGTAAATTACTGACCTATGTACTGCTGACAAAGCAACATTTGTAAAATATTTTGAATTTGCCAGAATAGATCTGCCATCTAATATCCCTCTGAAGTTGCACATGATGAAAAATTATTAACTGATCTCATTTGTTTCATCACTGTATTGAAAAGTGGAAGAAATCATAGTCTTCTTAATTTTTCAAGTGGTATTTGTCACAAAAAGCACAGATACTAGACTGATACCTGTTACATACATTTTGTAACAGAAATTCAAGTGTACAAGTGCAAAGAAACCACTATAAACAAAGAAAATAAACCCAAAAATATTACTTTTGGAAGCATTTTGGTAGTGAATTTGAGTTGGTAAACAAAGTAAGATAAGGTACAATCTGCTGAGAAGTTAATAATTTTTGGATAGAGTAAAATTCCACTAAATTGACTTGCCATGTGGAAATCTTTTCCAGATCCTTTCTGGAAATTTTTAATTTTCAACGAGTTTCAGTAAGTTATTCACAGAGGATAGAATGGGTCCTACAATCCCAATGTTATTGTAGAGGTATTATATTTCCAAATTTTCAATTTATGGAAAGGGGGGTATATAAGCTTGATAGCAAAATCCTTTTTGGCTACTTTTTTAGGTTGTTGGGTTTGATGCCTCTACCACAGTGGAGGAATTTCTGAACACCCTGAACCAAGATACAGGGATGAGGAAACCAGCTCAGTCAGGATTTGCACTGTTTTCTGATGATCCCTCTGGCAAGGATATAGAGCACTGTCTTCAAGGAAACATCAAGGTAAACAAAAGCCTTTAATGAGCTCTGCGTGTAAAAAACCGAAGTATCTTCATTTGACAGAGCTCTCCTCAGGAAATGTAAAAGAAAATATTTTTCAAGCTGAAAAATAACTGTCTTTCGCTTTTTTCTCTTAATGTGAAAGGAAAGATTTTTTTTTTAAAATCACTTTTTTAATTGCTTAAATTCATTCGGTTAACTATACTTAAAAGCTAATAGGACATTGATATTATTCAGAGAAGTAAAAGGTGAGTTAAAAAAAGTAAGCTGTTACTAATCACAGTTCTTTAAAACTAAATAGCAATTGGAGTCTAACATGGATTTAGAGATTTCAGTTAACATTTCTGATTTAGCTCCAGAAGATGACCACGTGAGGTCCAAGAAGACATTGATACTGGAGTGGAGATCCTGGGGAAGAAAAAGAAGAAAGGGCTCTTTATCTAAATACAGAATAATTTTAGGGTTCAGTTTAAGAAATTTCCAATGAAAGGCTTGTCATTGTTCTAAATTTTAGTTTCCTCTATTGCTAGAATTAAATTCTTTGCAGTAAAGAGTGAAAAAAATGCAATATAATCTGTGCTTTAATAAGGTATTAGATATTTTTCAAGCCTTTTAGCAGCTAATGAATAATGAATATTTTGTCCTTCTACCAAAGTAGTCTTTTGCACTCTTTGGCCAGTGTTCACAGCTGCACTTTTGAGTTACAAGGTGCAATACAACCTGGCCTTAGTGACAAACAAACAGTTTGTCATCACAATCAGCCTTCTTCCTGTACCAGAAAAATTACCATCTGGAAAGCGGAATTCCTAAAAGATGTACTTATTTTCTAGGTAACTGAAACTTTAGAAGCTACTCACATTACTGCTTCCATGAAGGCTCTTTTATGAAGGAACAGTGACATGAGGTCCAGCAGGGCTCCTAGAACCTCTGTTTCACCTTCTCCCCATGTGCCCACCTGCCCTCCTGCACTGCTTGTTGTGAACCACTTCTGTTGTGTTTTATAACAAACTTCATACCAGCTTCATGCCATGGCAGTTACTGGAAAGGACCTGAAAAATTCAGGCATGCAGCAGAAAGAGAAGGCAGAGATCAAAGGCATTTGATTAATTATATAACAACTCACTGTGTATAATTACACATTCACTGGCTTCTGCTAAATCAAGTACCTGGCCTTTCCAAATAAGCATGTTAGGGCTCGCTTCCAACGTAGTATGAGTGCTGCAGGATAAGCAAACAACAAAAATGTTAATTATTAAATGTTCCAGCTAAGAAATGCAAGTGAAGTTATACTTCAGTAAGCTTAAAAATTCAAGCTATGTATGTTTCTGATATGTAGAGGATATTAAAATAAGTTGACAATTTCTATTCAAAGGTGTTTTCAAATAGGAAGACATGGCAAAGTCCGTTTTGTATTGCTTTCGTTCTAGATCTGTGACATTATTTCAAAATGGGAGCAAGCCTCCAAAGAACAACACCCTGGGAAATGTGAAGGCACAAGGACTGTACGCCTTACTTACAAAAATAGGTTTGTTTAGCAAGTATAATATCTCTGCCTTGTCCCCAGATTTGTTTTTTAGTTTCTGCAGTTTCTTCATCTGAAAAATATTGGCTGACTCGAAGCTCGCAACAAAAATAGTAAATGGGTGTAACTGGAGAATTTTTTTTAATACAGTTCATTTTTTCTAGTCCTTAAGAGATGAGCAGAACTGAAAAAAAAAAAGCCATAACTGAAATCAGAGGACTGAAATTAAATACTTGTCGAGTAGTTGAAGTGCAAGTGTTGTTCTGCTAATGTGTTTTGACGCTGACATAAACATGTCACATTCAGAGCAGATACTGCTAATCCTCAGGGCTAATGCATTTCCCTGTCTTCTTTATTTAATAACTTTCTGTCTTTTCTGTAGGCTTTATTTTTCAGTTCAAGCTCATGGGGAGACAGACAGAGAGAAGCTGCTGCTAGTATATCAGACAAATGATCAAATAGTCAATGGACTTTTCCCAGTAAACAAAGAATTAGCGATGGAATTGACTGCTCTTTTAGCCCAGGTAATCTTTATGCACGAGTGACTCACACAGCAGTTTTACAGGTTAAATACTTTAATAGGCAAACTGGTCCAGGATTGCTTGACCTCCACCTTTTTTATATGATAGTGCAGGAAACAGACTGGGCTGGAATCTTGTGTAAGGCAACTCTGGATTTCAAGTGGAAATGCTTTACAGCATAGGCTGCTGGGCCATCACTGTGGATAAAACGTGCTTTACCTCTTACACAGTCAGGCCTTCTTGGATTAAATATCATGTAATCATGTACCATTTATTCATTCACTATTCCTTACATGGTTTCTGCAAGTTAATACTCCAAAGTAATAGCTGTTAATGAAAGTCTAAGACTCCTTTACTAGACATGGTCTTGGTAAGATCCGTGTTATATTAAAAAAATTAAAAGTTCAAAGGAAGGTTATTAAGAAAGTTACTTGATGTTGTTATTCAATAAATGTAAACTGATTTGTGTTAGCTGGAGATCTAGCAATCTCAGAGCATAACTAGTATTATATTTGTACAATTTATATTTGATGTTTAACTTTTTTCCATGGGAAATAGAAAATAAGATTACTTGCATAACTTTTATATTGGTGAAAAATTAATTGACAAACTGGTTTTCATCTCATACTTGGTAATACAGATTGAAAGACAGTTCATAATATCCAGCTAGAAAATTACTCTGGAGTAACAAAAGATTTTCTTTATGGACATCCCATTAGGTAGAGATTGGAGATTTTGAACGGCCTTTCTCAACTCCAGCAGGGCAAGTTACTTCCCAGTCCAAGTCCAACCAAACATTAAAACAAGTTTTGGAGAGATTCTACCCTAAGAGATACAGGCAAGGTTGTTCAGAGGAACAACTAAGGTGAGATGTATTTTGTGATTCATATTCTCTAAAAATCTAGGAGTGAAACAAGGAAGTTTTAAATTGTCATTGGGTACAATTTACTCTTGTGCTATATTTGCCTAAACCTATATTTGAAACTCATTTTCTTGCTAAACTGAAGAACCCGTTTTCTCTGCATGTTTCTAATCTAAAAAAAAAAGGACCATCATTAAGCACACATTCCAGCAAAAGCTGTACCAATTACTACACAGTGTTACAAAACCCAGTGATTTTGAAATTCTTATTTTTCTTTTCAGCAAATCTAAATTAAGTCTGTGCACAGACTAAAGAGTTACTGAAAGTAAAGGACATGAGGATCTGACCTGTTTGCTATTCTAATGTGCAATCTCTGGCAGCCAGTCAGATTGGCAATATGTTAACTTAGTGGACTTGCTAGTAAGGTATCACTTCATTTACAATGAATAACCTTCAAGTCACTTGAATCAGCGCCTACTAACATGAAAACGAGCGAAACAGTGTCATAAATTATCCAAAGTCAGTGATACAGCAGTTTTGAAGTCCAGCAAACATCACAGAAATGTTTTCCTCATTCTTCAGTACAGAGATGAGAAAACTGAAAGCTATTATCATATGCACATAGTAACATTATTACATTCTCAGAAGACAACGTGGGCATTCAAATGTATATGCATAACAAAGAGAAATTTATGCAATTCATTTCAAAGAACAAATTATGAGAGGTCCTGGATTAGACTAACTCATTGAGGATAAGTCAGATATCTGTTGAACTGTTCAAGTAGTCCCTAAACTACCAGTTGGCAGAGCTACAAGTCTGTGGCAGGGAAAGAATCACTCTATACCTGCCCTGTTGCTTGTATTCTTTTGCCAAGGGTGTGGTGCTGATCAGAAGCACCCTTTTTGGTAGCAGTGCACTAAAAAAACCCGAAAAACCCCAAACCCAAACATATGTTCCACATCTGCTACTAGCCACAGGTAGATATGTGCTAAGCTGGATGGATTTTTGGAATGACAACTGACATAGCTGTTCAGTACTGATAAAGGTAGATTGATTCTCTGTAGAGACACATTAAAAGCTGTCCCAGACTTTTTCCCTTTATGCTGCAACTGCTACATCAATATTTAATCATAACGTTACAGAAATTAGAAGATACTTCATAACGTTCACGTGCATTAAAATATTAAATGACACTTTGGATTTATTTAATACTGTATAAGTGATAGTTGTTGTATTAACTTAAATTATCATTTTAACGAATGCATTATTTTTTTGCTCATTAAACTCGCTATGGGGAAGCATTTAAATTCCTTTCAATAACTAAATTACATACTTCATTTCAACAGACAGCTTTGTCAGCGATTGTCTACAAGATGGATGGCTCTCCGGGGGCACAGTGCTGCAGACTGTGTGCGCATTTATCTCACTGTAGCCAGGAAATGGTCTTTCTTTGGTGCCAAACTGTTTGCAGCAAAAGTAAGAAACTTTACTGAGTTCGAGTGGTGGGGTTTTTAAAGATAAATATAATTTGCAAATAGTAACACCTCTTTGTTGAAAACAATTGTGTTGTATATATGAGGTGATTGGATCTCTTGTGAAATTACTGATTTGTTTAAGTCATATACTGGTGAAATATAATAGCTGTAGTACTAAGTATACCATAATAGTAACTTTCCAATACACTCATTGCTTGTTTGACATTATTAATCTAGGTAGTAACATTCAATTTCCTTATATCTTAGCTTGAGATAGCTTTTTAATGTTAGATTTTTTACCTCATAACTGGTAGAACATTGAAAAGATATCATTAACTGGCTACGAAAGCTGAACCTTGCAGAAGCACTGAGTGTTGTTAAGGGTATTTAGAGCACTCCCTTCTGTCCTGGCCTCTCTCAATTTCTCTTAAACCTTAAGAGTATCTTAATTCCCTTGATTCAAGTGACATCTGTGTTAAACAGAACTGTCACCTCATGCCTTATGTTTTATTAGGTAATCCCATCGTATCTATTATATATATGTATATGTATATAAAATTGCTTATCAGCACTCCGTTCTTTGTTTATGTACACATATGAGCTAATGAAAAAACGTTAACACCTGCCTTTTACTTTAACAAAGAGACTATACATTTTATTGGTCTGAGCACCGGGGGAGGCTTCAAGAGTATTAGGCTGAGTTCATAATTCTGCCACTGGCTGCCTACATGGCTTTGGGCAGCTGTTTCAATTTCTTTTCTGAAATTTACACTGAGAGGGAACTGATGTAAGATCTGTGGATGGACAGAGGTCTATAATAGATGAGAGTTAATAATTATACACACGTTGCTTCATTTTGAAAGAGTAATTAAAGAACATTTCTCTTTGTAGCCTCTGTCAATGTCCTCAGATGACAAGTCCTTCATATGGTTTGCTGTACATGAGGATGGCATAAGCATCCTGGATTACAGTTCTATGGTAAGTGAAATTTCTGGTTTAATTTTGGTCAAAGTAGATTTTAGTAGAGTATATGGGGAGATTCACCAGCATACTACATAAAAGATGGCATTAGCCTTCCATGCTAAGTTATCTAGTCTTTCTCTTAGAGCAAAAATTCCTTCCTTTCAAAATGCTGTAATGTTATCATCATTATAATAGCACTAACAATAGAAATAAGTAATGAATTATTTGCACAGAATTTATTTTTGTTTATCAGATACAGTTTTTATATCATTTAATGAAATGTTAATGTTTTAATCATTCAGATGTCAGGAGATCCATAGTTACAGTTCTTACAATAACATTAATTTTCTTTTCCTGGAGACTTCATTTTCCAATATTATTCATAATACATAGACTCTGCAAAGAGCAGTTACTTTAAAAGATTGTTATTTTCATTGTATTATTTTTGTTTAATAGTAGGTAATAAAACCCAGTGTTATTTAATTATGTCATTTTTGGCTCTGATTTTTCTGTTTTTTCTTTGATTTGCAATACAAGTTTTTGCAAAAAACTCACGGTAATCAGTGAAAAAAAGCAGTGCCTGAGAAGATCCCTGCTCCCATTTATATCCTGCAAAGAAACAGAATTGCATGGTGCTATTAGCAAGTGCTAATACTGAATATCAGAAAATTAAAATCTCAGCTTTATAATTGTACTGATAGAGGCCTTTTCATTACATTTCTTTGCAGTTAAATAAATAATAAAACGAAGAATATGAGGAGAGCAAACAGCAGCTCTCTATAGGGAATAAGCAAAATGAGTTTGCATTAGGCTGCAGAAAGCCCTACAAACACTATCCACTCCTAGAGCTGTGGCATTTCTGTAGGGTACTGCCAGTTTACAGTATCAGCAGGCCTCACTTGTTCAAGAAACCCTCAGTTTCCTGGGGTTATTCTGATTTTCTGTAGGAAGGATCAGGGCTATCAGCAATGATGTTGCAAGGGGTAGAGAAAATACTATTTCAAAATTAGGGCAAAAGGGGGTTTATTAACCAAAGGACATTGTCAGTTATGGTAAAAATACTGTCTGACAATGAAATTTAAATGTGAACATCTGCAGCAAATAAATATGAGTTGTAATGATAAATTAAATGGTAATCTTAACTTGAAGGCCACTAGTGTGGTTTTAAACATTGAACAGTAACAACCAAGGCATGGAAAACTGAGGAGCCTTGAAGAGCATTTATTTTTCATCAGGGATGTTGAAAAAAGAGAACAGAATTTAATTTGTGTGTATGCAAACTACATAATGCTGCACAAAAAGAAGTCCTGGAGTTAAATTCTTTTAGATGTCTCATACTCTGCCATTTATTTAGACACTGCTTCAATTTCAAATGGAATTGCTAAAATTAACTTTTCTCAAAGTCAGTCAAGACTCGTTTAAATGGAATTACAAACCTGAGTTCAAACCTGCTTGTATCTTTGATCTGATTAATTTGGAATAGAAACAGAGGCCAAACTGCAATGAAAATTTCTCATCATGAAGGTCTGAATGAAGCTATCCCAAAATTCAGTTAATTTCAAGACTCATAAGAGGCTAAGGCCATTGAAAAATACATGTGTAATTATATTTTTTAAAAGAAAAATTTGTCATAATCTGGTTTTTTTTGCACTGTCCTGCTTAATAGCTTTGTGTTTTGTTTTGGGGATTTTCTTTTTTAAGCGATTAACGGTTACGTATTCATATAAGAGCCTGATGACTTTCGGAGGCTATCAAGATGATTTTATGTTGGTTGTTAACAATGCTCAGACAAAGGACAGAACAACTGAAAAACACCTTTTTGCCATGACAAAACCAAAGGTTGGTATATTACCTGAAACAGTTTCCCACCATCTGCTTTTGTGCTATCTCTAGTGGGTAATCCTTAACAGATGTGAAAGATGAAACACCTTCTTTAATCCTAGCATTGTCAGATTATTGACTTTTGTTAGATGACTTTAAAGTGCAAAACAATTAGTAATGTAAGAGCTAACTGTGGCAATTCCGATGTGTTTCTTTTCACGTCCATTTCTGTAACATTGCAGATTTTTCATAGAAGGACAAAGAAGGGTATTAAGGACAGAAATTATATGCAGTACCTAAAACCTAGTCTGTTTGCTTGATCAGCACCAGAGATAATTTTTTAAAAAGTATGTTTGTGTTCTGCAGTGAAATTGTAGAACACACCATCTGAAAAATCAGTCTTGTGAAAAATCCGAGGATATTTTTACCTTTGGTAAAAAGAAATTTTCATGCTTTTTAAATCTGGAATTTTTTCTTCCCTGGTAAGATTGACTACATTTCTTTAAAAAAAAAAAAGATTTTGCTGTTAGTCAGAACAATTTGTGAAACAGAATACAAGATTCCACATATAAATTGGGGTCAAAACACAGCTGTTTTTTTCATAAATAAGCGTAGTAAAATACATCTGTTCAAGTTTCCCTCGGATTGTGCTGTTACAGAATCACAGAATGGTTTGGGTTGGAAGGAACCTTAAAGATTACCTACTTCTGCCCTTTCCTAACATGAACAGGGACACCTTCCAATAGCCCAGGTTGCTCAAAGCCCCATCCAAGTTGGCCTTGAACAGTTCCAGGGGTGGGGCATCCACAGCTTCTCTGGGCAGCCTGCTCAGTGTCTCATCAGTGGATCACAGTGTCTCTTTGTATGGATCACAAAGAGAAAATAGGATAAAAAGCTCTGGAAAGTCTTTATTCCGTTTATCTACCCTGCATCTTGACTTCTCTGAGCACTGGAGATTTTCTGGCAAAACTGAGGGACCACATTGTGAAAGCTTTTTTCCGGAGTGTCATCATTTTGGACTTCAAAATCTCTCTCAAAGTGAAAGAAGCCATCTCTCTGAATCATTTAAGACTGTGGGAGACAAAGTATCTTTGATATGTACTGATGGGAATAACATTACATTATTTGCAAGGAGCAATAGAAAAAAGCTTTATTAGGTATCTCCTCTCTCCCCATCATTAATTTGTAAAGTACAAGTACTTTTCCAGTTGATGGTGATTGTCACTTGCTAAAAAGTTAGCTATTTTTTCTGCAGTCAAAACACATCACTATTTTTCAAAGAGTTTTGTGTGTTCCTGTTATAGATTCTTGAGATCACTCTACTGATTGCCAGCTACATTAACAACTTTCATCAGCTGAAAGGAGCTGCTCATCACCTCTCTGCTCCAGCATTACTGGCACCTCAAAGTGGACAGAAACTCAAGGAAATGGGGAGTCAGCCACTTCTTGCAATCAACAGACCAACTAAATGTCCCACTTTGTTATGAAAGGATTATGTATCATGATAATCTTCATTAGAGGGTTTCTACACTGATAGAAAACCTTCTGATGTACAAGACATAGAGCATAAGCAGGTCCATAAACAAAAGAAAGGTGGACAGGTTTATATTCATTTCAGAGGCATGTAACAGGAGTAGCCCTTTAATTAAAGCCCTGGCCTGAACTGGAATGATGATGAGCCACTTTAGGGATTATGCTTTACTGGTGGTCACTTGTGCCCACAATTGTTCCCTGGCATTGGGAACAATTGTCTAGATTTTAATAGATTTTTCCAGATATATACTCAGGGACCAAACTCTCTTCAACTCTCTTCACCTGTTCATCTCTATTTTTCAAAATTATACCAGTTGTATAACCTTCATTTCGAAAAGGAATTTTGTTTAAAAGAACAGTCAAATACAAAACAATTTCCACTTCCAGAACTATTTTTATTTGCAATACAAGGACCATGGGACTAAAAAGAACGTATTGTGTGTAATTGTTTCTCCTCTAAAAAAACCCCAAGCATAAGCACATCGTGTAACTATTACAAAAAAGAGTATTCTCATGATACACTCTAGGCTTTGTTATACAGCTGTTTTACTTGGCAAATCTTCAGCCTTGGTCTGGTCCATTTCTAAATAAACCCTCTCTGCTCCAGCCTTTTGAAAAAATCTAAATTGTAAGGGCACTGTTTTTTAGTATAGTTTTGTTAAACAAGATCCTGTGCCTAATTTCTTTAATCCAGAATAATAATATAATGCAGATGGCAAGAATGACTCACAATTCAAAACAAGAATAACACAGAAAACCATTGCTCGAACTGTTGTGAGTAAACTTGGAGACATATAAAATCCATGTATAATATGTTTAATGTATATACATTGAGTAATAATATTATTTTGTAAAAGTCATGGGTTTTGTTTTTAATTTGTATTTATACATTTCATATTATAATACAAATATAATGTTCTTGCACACTGAAGACATAATGCTGCATCTGCACTATTGGACCTGGGAGCACTTTCCAGTTGCCTTTTTCAGGTACAAGCCTCAGTGCTACATAGGGTCAAATGTATAGAAATTACACCCAGGTTTTTTTTCTTCCTGTCTTCTCATTTTCATTTCCATGCAAATAAACTACTTCTACAGGCTCTGAAATGGATCAGCATTATCCAATAGATAATTATCCAATTAGATAGATAATTATCCAATAGATAATTTAGGTTCAGCCATAAAGAAGGTATTCAACATAAATCACTGATTTATATAGATTTTACAGTTTCCACTTCTGCTCATGCTAATAATCATGGATCATTAATCCCTTATTGCCAGCCCTCATTTTTTGTTTGGTTTTTTTTTAATTATTATTACTTAAAACTGGAGTAATTTCACAATTGAAAATCTCTGGTTTATGATATTTAAACATTTCAGATATATACATATTCATAGTGAGAGAAAAGGGATTTCCAGCTGTTTGCCCTCTGTGAAAGGTAGGGAGTATCCTCCCAAAGAATTAAAATAGACTGGAAGGGAGATACAGGCCATGAAGAGAACATGGTCTTAAGTGGAAAGGCAAACAGGCAAGCTGACTTGATAAATACATTTCTTCAGAAAGCTTTTGAAGTTCTTGCCACAGCTGCTTCAGTCCACAGGGCTCAGACACCACTCCATGAATGGTACCGTGGGCCACTGCTTTGTCTTGAAAATTACAACAAAATAACACACCTACTTATCTAGATGCTTTCACATTTGCAAGGTGGAAAGAACTTCCTGGTAACTTCCATCCCTTGGTGGTAGTTGTGGCACTAGACCCTTCTCTTTGACTGAGGAAGGGCCAGCAGCAGGAGATTTACCTCCTCATAGGCAGCCAGTCTCCTGCCATCCTCAAGGGAAGCATATTGGGAGCTCCAGGAGACCCTGGCACCAACAGCATCATCTTTTTGTGTTGCACCCTATGTGAAGTGATAGCATGGTGAAATTCATTTAGGAATTAACACCCCTTTGCAATCAGCAGAATAGTTACATTCCAGATTTGAGGTTGGCAGGGTGTTTACAAATTCAAACAGATGCTACTAAAGTGTCTCAAATATGATGACTAGAAACTTCAGTTTACAAACACAAAAGCTTTCATGTCATCCTGAAATTATGATAACCTAGAACACTCCAACTAGTAATTCTTTCCTAGTTGTCCAGTTTCAAATGATTGTGGTTCTGTTATTAGAAGGCAAAAAAAGTGGAGCATTTTGGTAGTGAGTTTGTCATATAGTTTTTAAAATCTTTGTTAAACTTGGAGACAACATGATATCCAATACAAACAGCTGATCTGCAGAACTGAGTTTTTTAAACAGCTTTCATTATCAGAGCCTTACAAACAGTTGTTTTATAAAGCAGCATACAATCTATGAAGCAGAGTATGACCTTCCTGCCTCCCTCTGGATAGGTAACTCTAGAAACTGCTTTGCTTTTTAGTGTTCAGGTCTCGCTGCTGCAGAAACAATTCATGCATTAGTTCCCCTTTTTATGGCAGCACTTTCCAGACTTACTAACTGCTCATTTTAGGTCACCATTAATCCCATACAGCCACATTAGCAGAAATGCTGTGTTAATTTTTATGAAATAAATGCACTCAGAATCACAGTTACCGTCACAACGCTACCTTAAACAATGGAGCTTCTTCCAGGATTTTGATTAGCAAGAGTGAGGTTTCTGTAGTGATAGTAACCTCAAGCAGACACTTCCCTTCACAGAATCAGCAGGTGGAGTCTCTTACACACGCAGGTACATTTCCAAACACAGCTATGCGTATCTCAGAGGACTTGCTCCATATTAATCGAGGTCCAGAGCTACCACACAACACAAGACAGCTAAATTGAAAATTCCAGAGCCCAGGCAGATAATCTGCCTTCCCCACCCAGCCCAAGCCTTATGACTAATCCACATCTCAGTCTTAACCTTGAGCCTCTACCAGAACAATTCATACTGTGCTACCCAACCCATGACTAAAGCCCAGGTAGGAACTAGACCTTTCTCACCACCTAATCTTCAGCAGTGCTGATACTATGGGAGCTGCCAAATGAGCAGAGACTTCTGGGACTGATGCTGAAGAACTTCCCATTCTCAAGGCTTGCAGAACCTAGGTTTTAAAAATATTGTCATGGTGAGATTAATATGTTACCACATGCAAGGAGACTTCACCTTCTGTCATGAATTTAAGAACATCTTTTGTGCTTGCTTCGAACTAGCAGTCAGAAGTTAATATTTAGAATTCAGTGTAAATTAATATATTACTTGAACTTCACTTTGCCTTCTCAATTTTGAGCAGCAGTGTAAGAGAACTGCTCATTTCTAAAACGCCTGTAGTACAGCAGGCAAATGATAAAACTTCGAGTTTTTAATACAATCCACAACATTATTGTTCTTTGTTATTTTGGATTTAAGGTTTTTTTTCAAATAGAAGCCTATATTTCCCTATAACAGAAGGCTGGTGTTGCTGTTGGAATCCCTTGTCAGACTACCACAGTTTTTATAGGTTTTAATTTTTCCTGAAGGAAAGAAGTCATTCTTGCATAAAGGAATTCAGCCCTTAAAGCTTTAGGTAGAGCTTTAATAGTCCATACAGTGTAGTGCAATCCATTAGTTTGAGTTAACTTTAACTAAGGTGATTAGTAACTCAGTAATAATGAATTACGAAGAAGAAGTTTTTTAGGTTTTGTTCTGTTTTTTTACAGTTTCTAATTTAATTTGGGCTTCAGTACACTTAATAATTGTACACCCTTGCACTGTGCTTCCCAGCTCAAATCTGTACTGCAGCATCTTCCAGATTTGCCATCTCTATCACTGAGTAAATCACTGCAAAAATACTTTGCTTTTTAATCTTATACTCTTGCTATTGCAGTAACACCTGCCTAGGTTATAGTGCCAGGAGTGATTCCTACCATAGTTTTGCTATCTTTGGCAGAGCAAGACCAGCTTTGTCCAGGGTTTTTCCTACATCTAGCTGCTGATTATAGATCAGCATTGGCTTCATATATATACCAAGATACCAGAAGTGTTCTGTTGAACTGAAAGTGATGTAAGAAATGCACTTAGAAAGGCATCAGCATGACCTGCACTGTACAACGTTGACCAATGAAGTTTCTGGATTTTAATTAGCAAGACGGTGATTTCCATAGGAGGCTAGCAAATTCTTTAGAAGATGCATGTAAAAACCTGGAAGTAAATAAAACCAGACAAAAGCAGCCATACAAATGCTTCTGGAACTGAAACTGAGTGATTATGCAAGCTAAATTTAGAAAAAAAAAATCTTATGTAAAGAATGGGCTTTACTTAGGTCAGTAGAAGGCTATATCGGCCTTCTTTGGGTAGGGAAGAAGGAACAGTTAAAATTAAATCTGTGTTAATCAGTATGAATGAGTCCACTTTCCTTGCATTGATCAAACAGATCAAATTATTTCATTTACGTTTTTCTGTCTCCACTCTCTCAAGACACAAAGCAGCTACTCAGCTACAGAAGGTAGCTGTAATTGTTGTCCTGGATTTTGGGGTCACTTCCCTGATGTAGGACATCCTATACCTCTTTCATATTCAGAGTCATCCTGCTGTTTTACTGCACCCTTTAAATGCTGCTTTCTGACCCAAGCCTAACATGATTTATGGACTTGATTTTTGATAGATCTTGCTTGAAATAATCTAGTCCCTGTTTGTTACAGCATCTTACTTTGTATGCCCCAGTAACTACAAAATCAAAGAATCCCAGAATGGCTAGGGTTGGAAGGGACCACAGTGGGTCATCTGGTCCAACCTTCCTGCTCAAGCAGGGTCATCCTGGAGCATATGGCACAGGATTGCATCCAGACAGTTGTTGAATATCCCCAGTGAGGGAGACTCCACAATCTCTGTGGGCAATCTGTTCCAGTGCATGGTGAGCTGCACAGTAAAGAAGTTCTTCCTCATACTCCGGTGGATCTTCCCTATACTCCTATGCATCTGTTTCTGCCCATTGCCTCACGTCCTACTGTTCAGCAGCACCGAGAAGGGCTTGGTTCCATCCTTTGGCACTCCCACTTCATATACTTACAGACATTGATGGGGTCCCATCTCAATCATCTCTTCTGGAGGATGAACAGGCCCAGCTCCCTCAGCCTTTCCTCGGAAGTGAGATGCTCCAGTCTCCCAGTCACCCTCGCTGCCCTCCGCTGGACAATAAAATAATTACACAATAATTATTCTAACATAAATGTACTTTCTTATACAGCAGTTCTGTATAAGGGAACTACTCAGGTCTCGTTTCATTCCCTCCACTGGTAACAAATCTCACTTAGGGACCATGAATAGTTTATCAGGAGCCAGTGCTTAACTCTGAGGTCACATGAGACTCATTTATTGTTTACTCATCCCTGGTTTCCTCCATAGCTGGAGTATTTTGCCCCTTCACAATAAAGGCTACAGTCTAAGTTTCCTGAGGACTCGGCGTCACCCCGGGTCCGGCAGAGAGGCGAGGGAACCCTGCAGACAGAAGCAGCCGGGACGAGCACAGCCCCGGGGCCGGGCCGGAGGCGGAGCGGGAGCTGCCCCGTCCCCGCGGAACTACAGCTCCCGGCGCTCCCGGCGCTCCCGGCGCGGTTCCCATGGACACGGGGAGCCGGGCCCGCGCCCCGCCGAGCGATGCCCAAGCCCAGGTACTGGGGAGCTCTGCCCGGGCTCGGTGCCGGGGGGTCGCTCCCGCTGCCGTGGGGAGAAGGAGCCAGAGGCCGGGGAGCACAGCCTGGAATAGAGAGAGAGAGGGAGGGACGGAGAGAGGGAAGGAGGGAGGCGGGCTTAAAACGGGCCGTTCCGGCCTCTGCCCTGAAAGCGAGCGGGGCTCGGGGCAGGAGACGGCACGCCCGGCCCTGGGCCGGTTGCCGCTGTAAGGGACCCCACATGGAAGGGATCCGCAGGTGACCACGGGTGAGCCTGAGAACGGGGAGCCTTCGTGGCCCCGAGCAGCAGCTTCCCGGGACACCGAGCCCGGGTCCGGAGCCCTCCCGAGCCCACCGAGCTGTGCCCGGCTCCTCCGGGGCCGGCGTCGGGGAGCTGCCGCCTCCAGGGGCTGCCAGCCTCCTGCAGGTCCTGCGGAAAGCCTGAGTCGATAGAAAACCTTTTAAAGGTGTCAGATACCGGAATGGGCCGCCCAGGAAGGTGGTGGAGTGACCGTCCCTGGAGGTGTTTAAAGAAAGACTGGAGGCGGCACTTGTTGCCATAGTCTGGTTGACAGGGTGGTGTTCGAACACAGGTTGGACTCAATCTCGGAGTTCTATTTCAAGCTAATTGATTCTGTGATTAAAAGTACTCAAAGCCTCCCGCCGCAGAGCTGGTGTTTGCTCTGTGTGTGCCACAAATGGCAGCTGGGGTTACCTGAGGAATGTTACTTAACCCTGTTTGGTTAAAAGTGCTGCGACAATCAGAGGGTACGTGATGTGAAATAATCACAATAATAATATACACCACAATAACCTTCATTTGGATATTTTCAGGAATTATGGTCCATGGTTTTTCTCTAATTATTCTCCTCTTATTTTTTTTCCAACTAGTGATACTCTGTGGGATCTTGCTATAGCTGAAGTGGAGAAGAGAGAAAACCGTGATGATGATGTCAAGCAGGGGGAAGTTTGGGAAAAATCAATATTATTTATGGGAAACAAAAATGGGGTAATGCTAAATACTGTACAATCATACACCTTTCAAACATAGTTTGTGTCAGGGAAAATATCTGGTATTTTCAGATGTTAAGGTTGACTTAACTTTAAAGACAGAATATGTCATGGTCTCATTCTGCAAAGAGTGGGCATTCCACACAGTGTGAATTCAAGTTTATGGTTAGGATTATCAATGATGTGCTGATTCTTTGAGGTTTGGCTTCATTATTTTTTTAAAGTAACTGCCAAAAATAATGCTACCCTCTTTAATTGTTTTCCCTTGTAAAGGTTTAACTGGTAACAATCCAATTTAAGTGCATTGATACCAGATTCGTTGTAGATCAAGGCCTTGATATGCCACAATGAATTGTGTCTGTATTATGTCAGACCTATTTGAACATGCTGTATCACTGATTGCAAACTCAGGATTCCATATACCTGAGGTTGTTTTAACTCATTGTCCTGTAAGTGTCCAGTAAGTTGATCACTGGTAATTTCATATTTTTCTTCTGTTGGCATTTGTTTGTAAAGTTAGCCAAGAAATATCTGCCTTTTTGATGAACTGAGTCATATTTTTTAAGAAGGCCTGGTATATGTGCAATCTCTTAGTCAGCAATTTTTAAAGTACCTTTTTCAGAGAAAATACAATGATTTTTCATATTTACCCAAAATTCACTGATTTTTGAGATGGAAGGTGACACAGGAGTTAACTGTAGAAGTGCTAGCCCCTTCAGTGTGGCGTGGTAGTCAGTGTCTGAATTTTAACAAAGTAAAGAGGTATTTTTCTGTTCTTTATTTGTATTTTAAGCAGTCTTTTTGTTTCCATCTCATCAGTAATCATTAATTCCAGTGGCAATCACACATTACATAAATGCGTTATTTATAATTAAAAACTGTTAAACAGTTTAAAAGAGTTGGTCAAACTGATCACCAGTGTCTAATTTTAAGTACACTGTTCCTATTACTGTATTTGTCATCTCTGTTAGTTTATAATTATAATAATGGTAGTATAATTTGATTCTGACTGAAAGTTGGAGTTAAGTTTCCACTATAAGGCTACAGACAATTACATGCATTTGCAATTTTCCGGTACTTTATTACTGGAATGTTAAATAACTTGATTTAGTGATACAACTTTTATGCTTTACTGATAGTACAGTAGCGTTCTTCTTTGCTTTTAATTTCCAGGGAAAGACCACTATTATATTGAGGTGTCTTGAGAGGTATGTGTCAAATATTTAAAAGCAGTTTTCACCTGTAGATTAGAATTTTACATAGCAGTTATATTGTGTGATAATTCCTAATGTATGCATAATTCATAATGTAGCTGGTTGGTCACTTATGAATGAGTTTTTTTCCCTTCTTTACTACCTGTCATTGACCCTTTCAGTCCTTCTCTTCCAGTATTAAAGAGCTGAAATGGCCCATCTCTTCAGATTGGTGCTGCTGCTTCTCCTGTCTTCAGTACCTGAGAGCTTGTGTCCTGAAGTGTCCTCGCTGTACTGCTGTCTCTAAGCCTAAACTAACTGAGAAATGTAATTTGGTAACTGTAGAATTAACTTCCTTTATTTAGAGGATCTTGACAAAATGAAGTTATTTTTCCTTGCATAGGGAAGAGACTCCAAAGCCAACATTAGCCTTGGAATATACCTTTGGAAGAAGGGCAAGGAGACACAATACAGTGAGTATTCAGAAAGTATAATTTACCATATATACATACATATGTATATACATAGGCATAAAAATAGTATGTTTTATTTTTATATAAAAGTATCTTAGAGGTTTTAGCTTATTGTCTGTGAAACAAAAAGGAATTTAATATGTTTTTATTTAGCTAGTTTAATTCTGTATTTTAATCAGTAATATGTTTTTTCCCCCTCACTAAAACACAGTAGATCAGAGACCAAATTATAACACAAAGCAATCAAATTCATCTATAAAAACTTGTGTTTGAGTGCTTTTATTTTCCCATTGCAACATAGTATGCATGCCTTTAACTTTGTCTTTAATATGCAAAATGAGTACAAACCAATGATGTGAGAGAAACAGTCATCTTAGAGGATGTTAAATAATAATTAAATTTTTGGGTTATGTGTCCACATCACTAAACTTTGCACTGCAGATTATGTTAATGGAAATAGTGAGCCCATTCCCACCACAGCACAACACTGCTGAGCAGCAGTAACTGTTGCTGCAGGGAATTGCTGTTTCAGTTGCTGAAGCGGGGAGTGGAAAACCTGACTCTGAAAGATAAAAATCACTTAAAGCTTTTCCCAGAAACTGAATCCAAAGGTACAGGTTCATTACTTTTCCAGTTGCAAACTTCTCAAAAAGCATTAGTCTTGAGCTGCAATAAACAAAAAGAAAGTGAAGAGAACCTGATTTATTTTTTTTAAACATTTATCAGTAATCATGCTGCTTCCTTATTTTTTTACTTTACAATAGCCATTTATCAAGACAGTCATAGGCATGCCAGGAGTTTTTCTAAGCATTATATGGGATTACTTGAACATGGGGAATTTTGTATTTGGTTTTGGTTTTAGAAAATACTAATGAAGTGTGTTCTTGTTCTGAGTCACTTGCATGAAAAGCCTGTTTACCAGCTAAAGATTTTTCCTTGGTATTGCATGGAAGCACACATTTCTAACAGAAAGAGACTCTTTTACAGCCTAAAGATATAGCTCATTTTTGGGAACTAGGTGGTGGAACCTCATTACTGGAACTCATTCGAATACCAATCACTAGCCACAACATAAGGTGAGTGTAAATATTACAATTCCAGAGTTAATTTCAGCTTTCCTTCAAACATAAGTAAATCTCTAGACCTTTTATTGTGAAAATCTCTTTCAAAATGTAAGAGAGAACATTTGTGATTTTTTCTAAAAATCACTGTAGTACCACTGATACTTTGATCTTCCTTTTCGTACTTTTCTGCTAATAAACCAAGTTTGCAGTAATCTCAACAAAAAAAAAGTGGTAACATGGAGGAAGTAGGTTGGCCTTAAGCACATGGAACGAGACACACAGAAAAAGAGAAGACATAATATCTTTATGCTCGGTAAAAGAGCAGAAAAAGCAACTTGGGGATATGTGAAAAATACAATCTTGCTTCCTACTTCTGCATGCAAACATAGATGCTCTTTCCGTGAGGGACAGTATTTTAGGGTGAAAAACAAGGCAAAAAATTGTGACCAGAAAAATCTCTGGATGTTTTGGAAATGACCATCTCATGAGAAGATCAAGTAATAGAGAGATGATGTTTCCAAGAGGGACTAGAGCTATTGAACTTATTTGAAAACTAAAGGAAACAGGAATTTAGATCAAATTAAGAGAATGGAGTGAGAAAAATCCATTAAAGTAATAGTATAGCATAGGAAGAAGAAATGCATGAAAAGTTGCGTGAAGAAATGAGAGGGTTAGGGAGTGTGTTTTATGGGGTTTTTGATTAGGGAAGATGGAGTTTAAAGGAAGGGGAGAAAAGGATCAAAAGATAAATTTTGTATTATGATGCATTGCTTTATTTTCTTGGTAGTGAGCTTTAACTTCTGTGGGGAAAAGAAAAGGAGGGATACCGTTTTTATCAAGTACATTTGCTACTGTTTTGACTACTGAAATAATGCCATTATTTGCTGACAGACTAAGACAGAATAAAAATAAAACATGGCATGTGAAGCTCTTTGTTTCTAGAGAGCTTGGGAGAGAAAAATTTAACGATCATTTTTCAGCCCTTGTAAATTAAATTAACTGATCTTCACCTCCATCAGTCTTTTCTTCCCTTTTTACTGACGTGAATAATCTTAAGATTCTTTTGTGGGATAGCAACATTCTGTAAGAACAACGAACCTCTGTTCATAAGGCAATACTTTAACATGT